GAACCTTTAGCTAGCTTTGTATCTCTCTAGCGAGCCATATGCTTTATGCTTCACCTAGTACGCAACTCGGTTTTTCGCCCGAACGACCCTAACGTACACAATTGGTTTTTGCTTATAGGTTACTACTTTTCAAGATTATGTATTTTTTATCTCGTTACCTATTTTACGGAAAAGATGACCGTTAGTTATTTTACAAAAAAAAGATGGCCATACTAAATTATTATCGTGTCCAATATTTATCATGCGGTCATTGGACATTACACCAAGTGAGTAGCGTAATCTCAAATAAAACAGTAACATAATAAAGCCCTAATGTGTTTAAGCGAAATGTATAACATTAGAAACGTGATGAAACTCTAACGCGTCTACATGAAGTGTGTAACATAGTTCTGGTAATCTACATGACTATTGGGCGTTAGTGATCATCACGTAGCAAGATCATCATCGTATAACTTAATTAGCTACATGTTCCACGCTATCACAATTACTAAGTAAATTTGATCTTATTATATAATTACCAACTATGAATTATGGACATTTTTTAACGTTTTATACTTTAGTTTTTGAATTTTACATTTTCTCTGAGTGAAAATCCTCCTTTTTGTTCCTTAATTCCGTTAATATTTAAAATGTAAACTAATTCACAAGTTCAACTTTTTAAACACAATCTTTGAGTTCCTTGCTAATTAAAGTTGTGACATATACATAAATTCTCTCCACGAATATTTAACTGATGAAGATTTAAATATTTTAAACTTTACTCAATAATATCTTCAATTAAAACCGCAACTAAAGAAAATGAATAAATGCCCAGGAGAAAATCTCTATTTCCTACCCTTTCAAGGAATTTAAAACGGAAGATATCTGATGGCCGCATCAGAACCTGTGTGACAGCTATTCTATTTTGCATGTCTCGTCGATCCCTGAAGATTGGTGTGAATTTGACAAAATTCTAGGAGGCCAAATTTCTGCATAAACCGATAGTATTGAACTGAGTTGTTAATAGGACTGAGAACACAAATAATTTGATACATATACAATTCGTTAACATGATTATGATGAGATGGAGAACAAAATATATGTATGCTTCACAAGATCAACTACCATCTCTCAACGCAATATTAAAATAAATTGAAGTTTAATTAATTAAATAATTCAATGTGGTGGTGCTACATGTAGCCAACTTAAAGAGAAAACTAATGGAAAAACTTCTACGTTATATGAACTAATAAATAATTATATCCTTGTAAATTAAGATATAATATTTGAATAAAAATATCGAAGTTTGAATATTTTTATTTATTTATTTTTTAAGTAAATTGAAGTTTGAATTGTTCAAGTGTCTTTGTAGAGTTTTAGACCGTTACGAGTTTGTTTAATTATAGATTTAATTCATATCAATTTAATTTACATATAATGATCGTTCAATATTTGAGATATGGTCTAAATTCAATATGTGTACCTAAAGATGTCAATATTTGGAAAAGTTACTTTTTCAACTTTTATATAAAAAAAATGTGTTTACTAATTAAATAATAGGATTATTATATGTTCACCGTTGACCTAAATAATAACTCAAAATATTATGTAGAATTAGAAATATTATCTATTAATTTGATCCAAGTGATAAGTAGCTACAATGAATTAATGACTTAAAAATATATTTTAAAATAGGGTAAAGTTTTAAATAATCTAATTTTAAAAATAAATTACAAAAATAATGTTAGTTTAAAAATAATAACTAAATAAATGTAATTTTAAATAAATAATAAAAAACTAAGTTAAGTTTTCAAAACTATTAACAAAAATATGTTAGGTCAAAGAAGTAGTCAAAACTCGCGTACAATGGATGCGACTTCCGTGCAAACGTATACTGTTGACGTGTCGGGTGAGGTGGCTGCAGAGGCAGAAATCGCGTCCAACGGATGCAACTTCCACCCAATGGAAGTCGCATGCATTGCATGGAGAAGAAAGAAGAAGTGTTAAAGAGAGAGAATTCAAATTGGAACTGGAATTCCAAGGGAAATAATTCTGGCATGATATTCTCGGATGCGATGCCCACTTCCATGTTTGACATGCCGTTCGATGCCACTAATTTTAAGGCCTCCTGGCCATCCAAGATTATAGTCCTTCTTTACTCGATCTCTTCTTTACACCGCTAATCGGTCGTTCAAGGGAAAGTCGCAGCCATTGGCTGCAACTTCCGTCAACATGGCCATGGCTCCAAGTGAAGCCAGTCCAAGCGAAGTCGCGGCCGTTGGCTGCGACTTCAATAAAATCGCGGGTAAGGACTGCCAACGATTGCGACTTCATTGAAATCGCAGCCAATGACTACGATTTACCTACACTACTTTTGGAATAATTTTCAAAACGACACTATTTTTGTCATTTGTTTTAAAAAAATTATTATTTAAAAAAAATCCTACAATTGTTACCCTCACTATATTATTGATAATTTTAATCGAATTATATGAATAATAATAAAATTTAAAATAATTATGACGAAACTCAAACTGAACAAAAAAAAAACAAAAAAAAAATAGAAAAAAATAGAACAGAGCTGTACGAAAAATTCAGTAATCCAAAGAACCCAAGCAACCTTCGGATTAAGATTTTTCAATCGAACCAGAATATACCGTTTATAATTTAGAGTTAGGTGTTTCAGTCCTTGATTTTAGCGCACGTGACACGTCACAGCACAATTTCCCGCCGGTTCATCTTTTTAACATTGATATTGAGAAAAATAAAAGCGCCAAAATCCCTAATTCTGAAGTTTGTTCCACCAATCCCTCTCCTCAAAAACAGGAATTCAATTATCAGCCGATGCTCAGAAGTTTTCGATAGGTACTGTAATTTGCAATCTAAAATTGTTACTTCTCTTTCTCCAATTCTGTATTCTCTGGACTTATTTCGTGATTGAACTTATATCCATTTGCCTGATTTATTTCGAGCAGGTTTCGATCTTTGTGTATCTGCGTAGTAATAAGGATCCTGGAACAAAAATCTTCTGTCGAAGAGGTGAAATTTGAATATGTATGGAAGAAAAGCATGCCAGTTGGTGAAAGAGCTTGCAAACGGCGAGAAAGGTCAGCTAACGCACTTCAATGTAAGTCCACATGCTCGTTTATGTATATGTGTACCTATTGAGATTGTATTATATTGGCTACCGAGTTTTGCCCTTGCAATTTCGTTTCCATTTGATGCTTGCAGCTATTTGCATTATTTGGAGATCTAGAAGGGCTAATTTTATAGTTGATTAAATGTTTTGCACTTTGTTCCATCGGATGATTAAGTCACTTGACGAATCGTTTACTTCGATAAATAAACTCAAATTTTCAAATTCATTTTCAAAGACTGTATTTTGCTCGTTTCTTTTTTCCAGCACTTCCAGGTTTCTGTGAAGTGATTATTTTACACTAATATACATATTCTTATAAACTAGCTTGTTTTTTATTGGATGCTGATTGCTGATGGCTAATTATTAAGCACTTTGAGTAAGTAGATGTCTTGAAAAGAATTTATGGTGGCTTAAATCACCTTGTTCAATGTCTTAGTGTTCAGATTTTTAATCTGTTTTCTATAGTAAATTCAGATTGCATCTAATATTTTGCTCTTTTGTTTGTACCTGTTTTTTCCCTGTGTTTCTTCAGAGCGATCTATTTGATCAGGCTATTTCAGAATGCGAGCAGCATCATCTTGAGCTTCAGTCCTTGATGAGGTTATAATATTCTACCTTTTCATTTACCTATTATTTGATAATGATAAGTTAGTTTAAGTGGTAATTGATCTGTTTTCGGTTGATCATGATTGGTAGGAAAAAAAGGTAGTTAATTCTAAGAGCACGCTCATTTGGTTAATAATAGTTCAATATATATAAGGAGAGCAATCTTGAGGAATGACAGAGGTTCACATTTTCATGAGTAGTGATTTTATCACGGTTAATGCTGATGGTCTCGTATGGGCCACCTAGTGAGTACCATCGACTGAGATTTCTTTTATCCAATTTCCGTCCATGAGATTTCTTTTATCCAATTTCCGTCCATTCTGCCCTCCATTCCATAATATGGTATGAAAGCTTTCAAGAACAGAAGTCAACTCAAGGCTTCATTTTATTGGCAGTAGCACTTGGGACCTATCTTTATCCCAGGAACAGTGTCCTTGGTCGATGATAGAACTATAAGATATGAATTTCAGGTACCTTTTACTCGTTAACAAGTTTGATAGTTTGAGAAAATCTTCATCCATTTCTCTTGAAAATCCACACCGTTATATCAGTTGCAATATGTATCCCAGGAACTATCCCAGTAAGTTCACTAGAGTCCTGAACTTGCTACCGTATATTCTCGACTCATTGCATTTAAGATTGTGTCAAAAATCTCCCTGATTGAACTGTCACATGTAGAAAGGAATGAAGTCATGGATGGCACAAGACATTTGCTCTCTCTTTAGTAACAGTTGCATCTAATAAAATTGGAAGGTTAACCCAAATGCTACCTCTTGTTGTGTCACTTAAACAAATAACCAAATGCTGAAAGCTGACCAGCCATGTATTCACTGTCGCTCTGGTTGTGAAAGCGCCTAAACCAATGAATTATAACTCTTCAATTTATGTAAGTGAGCAAAGAGAAATAGTGCCACTTGTATGCGTTTAAGTACTGGTCTAGAATCACTGGCTACCTAAATTAAAAGACAGTATTTCAGGATGACTCAATATAGTTGACATGATGATCTGAAACAGGAAAATACAGGAAGAAGGATTGGATTTACAGACGACTAAGAACGAAGATCATTTTGGTGCGCTCATTCACCACCTTTCATTAGTTCGCAATAAACGCTGCCTCATGGCTTATGTGTATGTCTAATATTGTGAGATAACTATGAGGAACTGACTTTTACCTGGTTTTCTGGGTTCGGGATAATTATATTTGCCAGTTAAATGTTTTTATATATAAACAAGCAGGTATGATCGAGCTGAGATTATAAGAAGTTTGATATGGAAGGTAGGATCTATGCTTCCACCAGAAATACAAGAGAAGCTTAGCAACTCAGAGGAAGAGTATTTTAAGAAGCATTCTGCATGTCTAAAAGCATACATGTCGAGACTGGAGTTGGAATTAACTGTGGTAATCTCTGACACCATTTTTCTATATATAATCTTTTTCCTTCTAAAATTTTAGGGAGCAAATTAATGAGAAATGTTTAAAATCTTTAACTTTCTCGTGTAATTTTCTTTAAAAGAAAAATTAAGGCTAATAAAGGGGTAATTACCCTCCTTCATTCTTGGCTTTTCGTTTACTCCTTTCCGATATATAATTGCAGTAGATAATTTAAAGCACTTGGTGGAAATCATAAACCAATTTGAAACCACAACGCTTTAAAAACTTGTGCTTTTTTGCTTCCAACTCAAATTCCTCGAACAGAAATTTCCAAGTTTATCATTGGCAGGATATGGTGCCACCTAAGGATCCATATATCCAAGTGAGGGTCCTCGATGATATCGGTGAAGGAATCATACTCAGTGATGATAAAACAGCAAACTTTGCACGCCATTCTATACATTTTCTCAAACGAACTGATGCTGAGCAATTCATCTCACGGGTGAGAATCCCTTCCAATTTTGTTTCGCAGTTCCTCTTATTGCTTGCTTGAATGTCTTCCAAACTACTCATATTCTCTGAATAATAGGGGTTAATGGAGGAACTCAGAAGCTGAATTAAATATTCAAGATGGTGTTTCTGTAAATCGGGAGGGTTAAGAGCCAAATGAGGAGGGGAAAAAAATGTAAGCGCGAAGCCTTCCCATTTCTGTAAATTATTATATTTAAGGACAGATGTTTGCTTGATAACTTACATAGTGATTGGTTTCATTTCATGGTATGATTTTTAGAATCACGTCTGAGACGAGTCGAACTTGGATCTTCTCTCAGAAATATGTATCCCTTATCCTTTCCAAATTTGATTTCACCGACGGTTGCATCTCGGTAACAAAAACAGAGTATTATAGAAAAGGTTCACGACAGAGATCCTATAGCAAAACTGTTAGATCCATATTTAAAGGATAAAAGTTACTATTTCTTGTGTTGATATAGAAATCTAGTCTGCTGACGTGTCCAATTGAATAGGATGTTGGATGGATCTTGACGCTAGTGAAGTGCCTACCAAATATCTTTGGATGTTTAGTGTTCATGTGTGATGTGAATGACTTACCTCCACAATGGGTGCCCTGGGAAGGGCCATCTGTGTAGGACGTAGTGGCTGCTTTGTCTTCATCAGGGCATCGAGGGCTCTTTGCCACGTGCGCAAACCTCTCCCTTGAGGTACCTACGTGACTGGTCCCTGCTACCTTGTGGTACCGTGTAGTTTGTACATGCTTGTGCTCGATTTCTCACTTGTAACACCTCGTCATATGTTTGACTATTGAAAGTTGAAATGTATCTTTCAATCTGTATCGATAGGTCGAGGGCCGTTCACCCCTTCTTCATCACGAACTTATTGTATAGCTTCTTTCGAAACACGAGCAATTGTGATATCTTGCACTTTCTCATCTTCTTCCAAATTTCCCAATTCGGGTAGTTTCATAGTTTCATAGGATAATTGTAAACGAAAGGATCTAATGTTGTTCTGAAAATCTTTGTGGTCTCCTTTTATTACTTTATTTTGTTGGACAGTTCCATAGAATTGACATGTAACCAGTTGTTAGCAAGCGAGATCTTTCCTACGCCTATAGTGGAAGCACTCCTCTATCTTAGAGCTGTACCACAGTAAAAGCTATCCTTAGAAACTAACTATTTTCTATCTTTAGTTTATATTTTTGAATATTATCCTTACACATTATTTCTTTTGTACTAAAATAAACAATAAAAAAAGAACCCATATTATTTCTTTGTTGTGTTATCTATTTTATTTTAATATTTTTAAAATTCTAAATCGAATTTTAAAAACTAGAGTGTTGTTTGATAACCACTAATTTTTTATTTTCTAAGTCTTAAAAATTATGCTTGTTTAAGAAAAACATCCCTGAGTTATTAGCCAAATTTAAAAAACAAAAAGAAGTTTTTTGAGAATGTACTTTAAGAAAATAAATTTGACATAGATTTTAAAATATTTATAAAAACTGATAACAAAACCAAAAAAACATACATGTGAAAGTAATATTTTTAATCTTAATTTTTAAAAAAAGAAAATAAAAAATAATATAGTTATCGAAGAGGACTATATTATAATAACCATCAACCCATAGTCATTTCAATGGTTGGTTGAAATCCTTTAGGAGAGATAATTTTCATTTAAAATTCAAATCTTCATATACTTCTACTTATATCTCTGTCAAAAAAAAAAAAAAAAAAAACAGAATACCATGAACAGCGGGTCAGTTTTCCTTCGCTAATATGCTAAAGTCGCGTGAAAAAAAATGAAAAATTTTCATATCCTTGTGAAGAGTAAAATCCTTTATCCATACCCCTATATTCATTTAAATGTCAATATGCAGCTATAAAGTTCTTGAAGAACCTTCATCTTTGTAGTGTAAGTCATGCGGAAAACTCAATCTTCAAGCCAGTCAGCATAAATGCCAATCAACTTCTTAAACTCCTTTGATCTAAAGAACTGCTTCATTCCTGACCCTTTATCCTCACAGTCAGTTTCAATTCCTCGGCTACTTGATAATCCAGCTTCGGCAGCAGCAGAGGTTGTCGCAGAGGTACCGCCTACGCTCCCTCGCTCTGATACACTACAGGATCCAGGCTTCTGTAGTTCTATTTTCACCAAAAGAAAAGAAGACGAGGGCAATATCAATGCCTGTAGTTTGACAATGACCAGCTTTTGAATTTATGTACATTGTACAACTAAATCACCAACTAAATTGATTCAAATGGTGATGAATTAGTAAATATAGACATGGTATTTCGGGTTGTCCATTTATATATGCATGGGCAGAACAACCTATACATGGAATAGAAAATGGCAAAAGAGCATAAATAGAAAACATGGTACTGCTAGGAATTCAATGTCTCATTCTTGCTCAAAGAGCTGTAGGTCACTAGAAATCATGTCACAACAATGTAAATGAACGATGAATTGAAAGCTCAAAATACCTGTTTCTCCATGAATAAAGCGACAGGCATTCCCATATGGGCAGTGACCAGTCGTCTGCCAGGGGTAACAGGGCCTTGTTCTGAAATATTCAGGCTTTGGAATCTCACTGTGTACACTAATCTTCGTTTCTCCTGTTGTTCTAACTTCTTTTGATTTATCAAACTCACTTCTTCGATCCATAACATGACCAGAAACTACACCTCCCACCTTATAATTCTGGCTGGAGAAGCCAGAATCCATAGTTTTCTCAGGAATTTCATGAAGGTAACGACAGTTAGCCCCATATGCACACCCCTTCCCGCTACGGAACAGTCTGCATACTTCGATTCCATTCGACGTTCCACAGCCAGCATTCGAACTCCCTGCCCATCGACCTTCATGAGACTCAATTCCTTGACAAGAAGGCGACGATTTACGAGGATCATTAAAAGCAGGTGTATATGTATGCATCATCCCACGGAAATGTAACCCAACGTTAAGATTGTTCCGTGGTGAAATCTCAGAATTTGAAGGCATTGCTTCATGAATTACGGGCATTCTAAAACTCGGTACAGTTCCAGGCATCCTAGGCTGCAAAGACGATAGGCGTGGTCCATAAGAAAATTGAGGAGGCAATGGTGGCCGATCGCCACTAGCCTCAGGGACCGGAGAAGTAATTCGGTTCGAAGGATAAGGAGCTCTCATGTTGGCAGATGCATCTACTTTCAAGTTTCAAATTCTTCCAAACGGACTAACAGTAGGATTCCAAAGAAGAATTCTTTTGAAAAGCTTGTAATAGCAAAAAATCACATAAATCTCTGTACATTGTAAGAATCTTCACATCGCAAGAGAATCAAGAATTGTCATATGCAGTTAAGTTCGAACCAAATTCGGTGCAAAAAATTCATAAACTCTGGGAGATACCTGACGGAAGATTCTCCAGGAAGCTGTTAGAGCCGTGAAAAAACAGTCAGAACAGCAACCCTAAGTCCACAACTATGGAAGAAATCGATGAAATTTGAAATGGCAAATGATATGTCGAATTTCTTGACAGGTATAGTAGATTTGTACAATATTTACAAGCAGGTCGGAGAAATACGGGAGCGAAACCCTAGCCGTCCATCGGAAAACCCAGCGGAGAAGGCGAAATGGACTCCGCCGGTGGAGCGCCGATCAGAAACCTAAGATGCCGCAGTGGGTGCTTCGGTTATTCGCGGTCTAATTTTTGAACTGTTTGGATATTTCCCATTTCTTTCTTCTAAATATGATTTCTTAAATATCTTTAAATTTAAATATTGTGTAATAGACTTATGAATTTAAAGGATACTTCTGGATAAAATAATGAATGTATAGATAAAATTCAAAAACCAAAATTATAATTTAATTATGTAATATATTGACCTATCATGTTAATTTTAATTAATTGTTAATCACAAGTTTAGTATTTTCATTTTCATTTTTTTTCAAGAACAATTAACCACTTTTAATTTTATATTTAATAGATCTTTTAAATTTTCTTTTTTAATTCCCGAACTTATTAAGCCCAGAATTAAACATGTTGAATATGGCAAGAATCTACTCAACACTAAAATTCAGAAACCTATTAAAAAAAAAATCAGCGACCTATTAAGACATGAAATTAAAAATTCATAAACCTAGACATAAAATTAATAATTCATAAACCTATCAAACAAAAAGTTAAAAGTTAAAAAAAATAAATTTACAATTTCACCTTTGTTAATTTTAATCCTAAGAAAAACTTTCTCGTGTTAAATCACTGAAAAGCCATAATAAACAATTTCCATAGGCAAATACCTTAAAATGGAAGAATTTCTTTTTTTCCTTTTTTTTCAAACTATTACTATTTTAACAAGAGGGTGAAAATTCAAGCCAACAATTGAAGAGAATTTACTAATATTTTAACCTGTTCAACTATACTCGAGTTACCATAAATCTGAATTCAAATTATGGAAAATGCAATCATTTTTTTAAACCAATAATGTAGAGGCATAGTATTTGAAAGAGTAATGAACTGATTTGGAAACAAACGATCTACTGAAGCTTCTTTATCCCAGGAAATGAAGGCAGAACCGCAATAAGAGCATCTCCATATCCAACAGGCTCTGTTATGAAAATGATGAATTGAGAAGACATTATTAATGAAAATTTCACAATATTAAAGGAGGGAAAAAAATATCGAAAACCGACGTACCCCCATCCTTCCGCAGTATCTCCACGACTTCTCCAGATACATCAGACTGCAAAACGAAATGAAGACAAGAACACACGACGGTAAGATTTATATCAATGTAATCAGTTCAGTACAACCCAAACAGCAGAGGACACAGAACATGTAACAACAAAGGAACAGTATGGAACGCGAATAATCGAACTCGGACGATTCTCCTGTTTGCACTGACTATAGAAGTTTAAAGGTCAAGACTCGAACCTCAATAGGGATCTCAGCACCTAACTGATCAACGTAACAAAGCACTTGACCCTCTTTTACTACCTGGTTCTGTTTAGTAAATCAATGTTAGTAAAGTTTGACATATCATCATCATAAGGTAAAAGTGCATGGAAAGATCAAAATGCAACGGACCAAAAAATGCCATTGTGTTTGTTAAAGGCAGGAGGGGATATTTATCTTACCTCTTTACATGATGGTGGAGCACGCTTGCCTTTTATGGTTCGAGATCGCCGAAAGAACCCAACCTGCATTCAAAATCTCACCTCACTGTCCAGGATTTGAGAAAGAGAGAAGCAAAGCATTTGTATACTTACTTTAGGAGATTGAAGTATTGCCAGGCCTTCATCTGTAGCTTTTTCAATGAATCTCGAGTTCCCCTCTGGAGAAGAGGAAACATGCTCTGGTTTCAACAAAGCTAATGATGTTGTTTTAACCGATTCATTTAATTCCGATCCTACAGAACTTGTATTTTGACTAACAGGAGCAGGAGTGGGAGCTGGGGGAGGAGGTAAATCTTCACTTTTTAAGCCCCTCACCATATGCAAATCGTATCCGCTAAGCTAAAATAATAGCACAAGGAGAAAGAAAACATTTGAAACAAAGGACTTAGAGAAAAATATGTTCCCCTCTCTGGAGAAAGAAAAGCAACCATATTATTCAAAAATAGTTTATTACTACTTACTCTCAGTTCAAACTCCACAATCGAGGATGTGTCACATATGTTTGTGAGCAGGGTTTCAACCTGCATACGATATTGAATGAAAAGTATGCTTCAGGTTCCCAAAATGACATGGTTACGTTACATGAACAACAATCGCTATTTTAGTAGATGTTTATTTTATGAAAAAAGAAAAAAGAGAACATTATTATGCGAAACCAAAAGGCATATGTTTAGATGGATGGAACAAGGTAAAAGGTTGTTGAAGCTGCTCTTAGTCAATTTCAAGCTGCTATAAAAATGAGAATTCAATGCTCCATAAATGAGTAAAGATTCCAATATGAATGGATCATCTAAAAGTCCACCATACTAATCAAGTTTATAATGGTCAAATCATCAACTTTAACTCCCCGTCCTAACCATCACCCTAATATTTCCTCTTCCCGAACAATAGCAAACATGAAAACAGCTCGAATCTACTTGAATTTTGAATAAACTTTTTCACTCATAAAAGTTAATCTTACCTCATGCAGATTTGGGATAAGTTGGCTTGCCAAACTGGAAACTTTTGTTTCTTCAGAACCTGTTTCGATCTGGTTATGGTCAAACCTCATCAATGAGACACATGCAAATCAGAGAGGATCTAGCATTCCAACAGAACTTGGGAAACAAAGTATGACAATAATGGCGGTGCATGAGTTGAGTGAAAGCTGTAGAGGTTGACAACCTCCAGGATATTAGAGAATCCAAAAATGTATATACCCTTAAGGTGTATGTGAAAATGCATAACCTAACCTTTAAAATTCAATAGTAAGTGGCTTTTGAAAGTGGACTTAAGAAGTCTTGGTGGTTTTTCGAATGGCCTAATTCTAATCCAACCACACCAGCTTACCAATTTGTTCATCAAAAGTAAGTTCCTAATGTATCTTTCTATTAAAAGAAAACCCAACGCAGAACTTAGAGTGAGAAAAACTATGAACTCTACATAGAAGAAAAATGCAAAAACTGACTTTAGACTACAATGATGAGTGGCATTAATGAAGATATTATAAGTTACACAGGCACGTACTCTGGGTCTCGGGCGATGTAATACAACATGCATGTAAAGCCTTGCGAGACGAATGTGATATTCTCAAACTCAAATATCGCTGTGGTGTCCTGCCTATCCAATTTCTTAAGCTACAAGGTGCTAAAGTAGAGACTCTTCCCCTACCAACATCCAACCCTGAGACTCTAAAATCTGCAGTTCTTAAGCTGCCTGCAATATGATGAGGACAACAACAGTGATACTTTCAAAACAAAAATAAATGAAGTAAAATTCTCAAAAGAGTCCCTTAACAATCTAAGACTTAAGAGTGCGTTTGCATGTCTGTTAAAGTGTTTGTGAATGACTAAAGGTATTTTAATTTAAAAAATTGTACTGTTTGATTAAAATTTTAAGGAGTAGTGTTTTGAGAAATTCCAATAACAAACAAAAACCATCTAAAATGCTTTAAGAAGAAGTACTTATTTAGTTTTCTTTCAAAATTACTTAACTTACAAACACTTCTTTTCAAAGTAAACTCACCCTTAAATTGGTATTTTCCATACGTTTCAGGAATTCTTATCCCCAAATTGAACAATTAACCAGTTTTCCAGCTATTAGCAGTGAAATTCTAGTCTCGGGTTAAGAGGGAACTGGAGACAGAGAGTTTGAAGCCATGAACATTCATCAAAGTTTATCATCATTCCCGCGAGAATACAGTTTCAAGATGGCCTTGGTTTTGAAAGTATTCAAGAATTACAGCTTCTTCAATCCCACAGGAGAATTAAAACAGAACCCAACCCAGACACACAGTAATTTCAGCTGAATTTTATGAGTCACTACCCATTCGGGAGACTGGTAAAGTACACAATACTAAAGCACCCAAAATCGAAATATGCACAAAAACACTACGAATGGCGGAGGAGAATGGAAGCAAAGGGTTGAGAGAAACACTTACAGGAAGCCATTGAAGAAATAAGCTCCGGCGAACGGTGGTTGGAGGAGTTCAGAGAGTGGTCCAACGCGGCGGAAAAAAATATAATTAAACAAAAAAAGAGAGAACCCTGTTGATTCCTCCTGATACAAAATGGTGCGTTGATTTGGTGTGATCTCAGAATTGGATTTAACGAAAACCGAGTTGTATTTTAATATTTTTCGGATATATATTGGACAGTAGATTTTGAAAATTAAATTTTAATTTATAAAAAGTTATTTGTATTTGTAAACTTTACTAGGCAATTTAAATAATATTAATTAATTTATCAGATATAAATTTTGTAGAATTATTATTTTACGTTATTATATAAGTTATAATATATTATACCAAAGTGAAATTAGTTTAAAACGTATTTATAAAAATATTATCTTTTTTAAAAAATATAATAATTATGCTTTTTAAGATTTTAAATTCAAAATGAAACATTTAAAAATGTTCTTTTCAACATTTTCACTATTTGAATTGGAAACGATTTTCTTAAACAAATATGACAAATTTAATTCAATTAACCTAAAAACAATAAATCGATTTTCATACTAAACACCTAGCTTCTCATGCGTTAAAAAAATTTTAATAGAAATTTGAAACTTTTATTTTACAATTAATAGATTTTGTTTTAAATATGTTGGTTTTGTAAAGTTAACCGATTACATAATTTTAAACAAAACAATTAGCTTGTCATGGAAGCATTTAACGTTACATTTTTTCCTCCCCCCAAAAAAAAAAAAAAGACTTATTAAACTTAAAATGGAAAGGAAAAGTTTGGACCAATAAAAAAAATTTCAAAGTAAAATGTCTAAATAGATGTCATTGTAATTTTTTTTTCACTTTTTTTTTTTTGAAAATGACGCCATTGTAATTAAACCTTATTTATTTTACCATTCAAACAAAGTTGTCATGCTTAAACCTACATTTTTTTTAAAAAATATTTATTAATATCTTGACTAATTTACTTATATCAAGTCGGTTTCATACTTGTTTTTAAATACAATAATAACTTTAACCTAACTTTAAAATCTAATTTAGAATCTGATTATATCTATGAAGTGTATATATATAAAATAATGATCTCTAAGACCGTCTTGAAAATTAATTAAATTGTAAAGTATTATGTTAACAAACTCATTTTTAAAATATGCTGTTTGAGATTATCTCGAAAATATAAAATTATTGATACTTGAGCTTGGTTTACACAGAGACTTTCCAATGCGATCAAATTTTTAATTGCGAATAATTCTTTTTTTACTAGCTAATAGAAAATATTAATTGGAACACAAATAACAGATAATATATTTAATAAAATTAATTAGTCTCATTAATGTAAAATTAATCATGAAAAAACTGAATTTGACAATTAAAAACTGACGAAACAAATTAAATTGCTATCATAAATAAAAATTTGATCAAACAAATTAAATACTTATATAGTCGCTTTTATCATTATTATTTTCTTAGTACAACAACACGTAGTATTAGAAATTGGAACTCAAGACTTTTGGCTGTAAATAAATATTTTAATCAGTTGAGTTATGTTCAAGTTGACAATATTATATTACTCCTTAATTATTATTTATAAATTTTAGACATCATGTCAAAAGAATGTGTGATTTCATCCACATATTTAAATAGGAATTTATATACAAAGAATCCAACTCATATTTTAAGAAATAAATCTTATGGCCCAAAAAGATGATATATAGATGGAATATTAAATAACAACAATTAAAATGTTGACTACCAAAAAAGAAAGTAAAATACACAAAAAACATGAGGTCCTAAAGCAATACAACTCAATGTGACCATAGGTTTGGAGCATACAAAACAAAATCAAATGAAAAGGGAAGGAAATAAACTATGTATTATTATATCTAAAGACCTAAATTTTAGATGAAAGAGTGGATAGATTGAAATCTTAGGACGAGTCTCTTGGATCATTGCATCTAAAACATTCCATTCTACTTGCGAAGTTGTGCTCGTTGCATCCCGACCTGTATGTGTCCAACAACGAAAAATTAATTTTGGTACTAAAAGTCACATGGCTCAACTTTTATAATAGTTTTTCTAGATGCATTTACAAACCATTCTATTTATTAAAACTGAGAGTTAAGAAAATGAGATTCCTGATTTTTAAATTAATGTAATATAAGCTTTTATGCTAACTAAATTAAACAATATTTTAAGGTATGAAACGAAGAAAGAAGAAAATGATTGATTAAAAAAAGAAAAGGACCTGGTACAAATCCAATCACCAGACTTCCAAGAGGAGCCAGCACGTGAGGCATTAGTCCCAAATCCAAAGCCCCTGGAAGCACGTGACATGTCAAAATCAAACCCTCCACCGGCGCCGGCTCCGGCAGCTGCTGACTCGTCCTTAAACGCACCGCATTTGAAGCAGCTCGATCGGCTGGCAAAGTTGTGGGTCCCGCAGTTTCCGACGCCGCAGTACCAGTCGCCGGGGCGGACGTCAGATCCCGGGGAAGCAACGCCGCCGTAAGACGACGGTACGCTACTTCTTCCAGTTGCTAACCTTCCGCCGCCGCCGCCGGCGAACACCCCGAATTTGGAGTCTCCACAGCGCTGACAACACTCCCGCCTTTGGAAATTCAGGTGCTGGCATGACCTGCAGTGCCAATCCCCCGGCCTGTTCATTTCCCGCCCACCTGCGCCAAAATTCACAATTTTCAGGCACACCCAAAAATTTTCATACAAATCCTCAAATTCTGATGTTCTAATTCCTTCTTCTTTTTTAATTTTGAAACCCGGAATCAGTTCCCGTGTGGACCGACGTTATGGGACTCGTCCCATATGGGAAAAATTATGACTACGCGCCTCGTAGGCTCGAAATGGGGAGAGGTATCCCCATTATACTACAAATCCATCACACCACCACCCACGGGTAGCATTTGATGTTCTAATTCTTAAAATTACGTAGGGGGAAAAATTAATGAACAAGAAAAGAAAACCCACGTAAGAGTTTGAAGCAAACTTGAAGAACAAGAATAATGTGCAAGAATAATGAGTACCTAAAGAAAGAGAGAGATAGGTAAGAAAATGGAGTTATAATATGGAGAAAGCAAATTGGGGGGCTTGTTTTTATAGCGAAAGGGGTTCCCTTTTTTGGTTGTTGTTGTTTCGGAAATGATGTTGATGAATCATGAATGGGAGTGGAGAGAGATTAAAGCAAGAAAAAAGGGAGCAATAATTCAAACTATGGGTTTCAAAAGATATATATCTCGAATTTTGAACGAAATGATGCTTTATTTGATATTGTATGCCTTTGCATGCATGCATAAATGGAAAAACTTTTGGAATGATTGTAATGTTGTTTTATGGAAATTATGACCAAAGTTGGTTGAATGCCATTGATTGATAATCTTTTCATTGTCTGCTTTGATTGACCAAGATTATTAAGCTGTTTATGGAAATGACTTATATTATAAATTTAACCTTATCAAGTCATATCAATTATCATAAATATTTTTCCTAAATTGACTGTATTGTACGTGTATTTTCAACTTCAACAATTGTGATGGATAAGAAGCCAAACCATATTAATTTTTGAGATGATAATAATCGAGTGAATTAATTATTCGGTCACAGTTATTCTCATATTGACAAATTGTATTGTGTTTTTAGTTATTTATGGATGGTAGGTTTAAATTGATCTAATGTAATGTCCTAAGTAAAGAAAACGTCTTCAAGGGATATTTTGAGCATGGTTTGAGACCTCGATGAATAACGCCGAGGTTTTGAATTCGAGCCACATGGGATGCAATTTTGATCAAGCAAAATATTTTTACTTTCTCTAATAAGCGATAGATTTTAGATTCATATCTAATTGAGGATCTATGATCTAATAATAATAATAATAATAATAATAATAATTTATCCACCTCTTTCCCTCTCTCTCCCCTCATTACAATTTTTCTTTTTTATTTATTTATTTATTTTTAACTATTTCTTCATAGTTTTTGTTTTATTATCAGATCTGGAGATGTGAATCTCCAAGATCGAAACTCACAATCTTTTAGTTGGAGACATATGTCAATTACCATTGAGTTATGCTTGTTTTGATAGTTAATATCTATATTGACGATATATTTGAAAGATTTTAAAAGTATAAAATTGATGGGTGTAATTAAAGTAAGAAAAGCACATAGGAAGAGATAATAATGTGGTAAGTGGTTATAGTTGAGTCCAAACTCCAAAGCTAAGCTCAAGGGGACATCCCGACATTTTTGAACCCCACAGAAAAAGGGAAAGAGAAATATGATGTGGTAACCTATTCGCAATACACATATTATTCTCTCACTTTTTTTTAATTATTATTTCACAAAATTATTATTAATTCAAACCCCAAAAGAAAATAAAAGATGAAAAGAATCCAAAAGCATTCCATTTTGACCATGCTTCTTCACAACCCATTTGCAGCAAAGTTTAAGTTCCAATCCATGCACCAAATTTCTGTTAGAGGAATATACTGAGAAAGATTAAGGAAACATGAAAGTAAACCATTTGAATTGGAGAGTAGTATTGTACAATTTTGTTTTCTCTATTAATCAAGTTTCATAAAATTAAACAACTGTCTCTCATTATAGGATGGATTACCAATCTGTGATTATACAACACTCCAATCACGAGACTCGACAAATACCGGTACTTACTAATCATATAGAGAAAAGAGAAGGAGACTTTTGAGAGAAGATTTTTTATGTTACAAAACTATAAAGAAACTACCATTTATAGATAAACTATTTATTATCATTGAAATAGTTACATCCTTTCATTATAAGAGGTTTTGTCGTTTACAAAATTTGTAAATTTCAACACGTTGTCCGAGAAATTATAATATAGGATTTGAAGCTTATGCGTGTGATGAAAAATGAATATTCCAAGTGCAATTCAAATGCCTTTTTTTGCTCTGTTTTTAACTCATTTATATTATATGTTCACAGTCAACACAAATTAAAAGTTCTTTTTTCTTAAAATAATATTACTTTCAGGGGGGATATTTTCCTCTCTCATTCCTAGTTCCTTCTAGAGGTTCTACATAATGAATTTCATCCAAGAATATATGATTATTGAGATTTAACTTGAATTCACCCATGATATTTGTCTACTTTTAAACTTAAACCGACATGAATTTATTTTTGGTCATCTATCAGTCTACCACAAATATATTGTCTTTTACTTCTCTATTTCTCATCAATCTTGTTGGGAGGCTGAGAAGTGAACTGTGAAGACCGAGCTGCTCACTGGAATAAGACACGTCTCGAACTAACAGGTCGGGATGAGATCCTTGGACAACAAAAACAGGCAACGGTGCCGAGCCCCTTAAAGGTCGTGAGTCCAATCATTAGTATGGTCCACAGTACCTAGTAGGTCACCTAACCCTGAAATATTCCCACAGTACCTATTAATAATGAACTAGACTAATGGGACAAGAAATTACCCACTTGCCCACAATCAAGTATGAGAATCTATTTGAAGTTGATCTCTCCAACTCATTCTCTAAACTAATTTGAGCATGACAATGCTCTACCTGTTTTGTAGGTCTCTCAATTCCGACTCGTTCCGTGTGCTCATCCAGACCAAATATTAAAACTTTTTATGTTTGTATATGATCTAATGTTAAGGATGAAAGTGATTGAAGTAGCTAGTTAGAAAAATATTTTCTTATTTTCCTATGTATATTGACATGTGATGTATATAAACGATAAAGCTTTTTAAATAAAAGAAAATAGGGAGGGAATGAAAAGTAAGAAAAGGAGAAGCATAATAATGGGGAGTTTGAATAAAAGATGAAAAATGGAGGAGATGATGATATATTGTATGTGTTGTGTTGGAATGACAAGTCTTTGGAGGTTTTCATTTTGACCATCTTTTCTCTCTCTCCTATATTCATCAACTTTTTTTCTTTCCGTCTCTTTGCTTCCCACCCATTCACCTGATCTCTCTACTATTCCTATTGCTGCGCCCCCTCTCTTGCAGATTACAATATTTTTTTTTAATATGCGTGAGTATCCGAGTCTGTTTACGTGTAACTCGACTAGTTTTACAGAATAATCACTAGACTTTATAATGTTTGGTTCCGAGAAACACAAAGAAATTATAAACCATAATATTAGATTAGAGATTGAACTAACTGCCACTAAAAAGAAAAATATTCGAATCTTTGTCATTTTTGTGCAGACTACCATTAAATGTTTGACAAAAAATGGAGATTTTTTTGCTTAAATAATGAGTTTGTCAAATATTAGAGTGGGTTAGCATAGGAGAATAGGTCCTTACAAGTAAAAACATAAGTATTTTCCCACTAAAAATTCCATAGCTTAAAACCATTAAAAAAAAAAAGAAGAAGAAAAATCATCTCATTTTTTTTACACTTTCCACTTCTATTTGACAAAAAAAAAAAAAGTAATGATGATGAGCACGATAATGAGTATTCACCACTAAACACCTACGTATTTTATTTTTTAGCAAATAATTTTTTTTAGTACAATATGTGGAGGTGGAGAATTCACAACCTCTTAGTTAAAGATATATGCAAGTCATCGCTCAATCATGCTCGCTTTGGCTTTTCCAACAAATATATCTGAGTTAAAACATTGATTTAGAATTGGTTTGAGTTTAGTTTCAATTTGTTTCTCCATATTTTAAAAGGTTTAAATTTAATCACTGAGTTTGAGATTTTTGAATTTGGTCTTCATGGGTTGAAAAGCTTATCTATGATTTAGTTAAACTCTAAACAATTTATTTACCATTTTACCCACCTTAAAAATTAAAGCCCTCTCTTTAATCCCTTATTATTACTCGGCATGAATCAAAATATAGTTGAGTTAATCGCCACTATTAGTCCAAATGGAAAATATTAGCTAATTATTGAGTAGACAAACGTGTCACCATCAATAATTGGTAGGGACGACCATTTGTAAAAATTTGACCAAATTACAAAAACAAATTAAAATTTTTAAAACCACATAGGACAAAATAAAAAATTAAACCCAAATCATGAATATCAAAGGGTAGCTTTTAAAATCATGCAAACCAAATTAAAACAAAGCATAAACCTTGAATTAAGCTTAAACATTTAGTTTTTATAACTATGATAGGACGTGCCAAAACGAACATAATTCAGCGATAATTAACATATATTTCCAACCAAAAAGTCGTGAGTTCGATCTCCCACCTCCATATTGTACTAGAAAAAACTATGGCGGGTGGAATTTATAATTTAACTTAATTATTGTCTTTCATTAATTCTCTCTAATTAAGTACACTTTACTCCATGAATCTGAAGCTAAGAGAGAGAATAGGGTTTTTGTTGTTGAGTTTGATTATAAGTTTTGGCTTTGGGAATCGTTTTTCCCAACCAACTTATTATTCTCTCGTATACGAGTCTCCCTTCCCAAATCTCTACTTTTCCCATTGATTAAAAATCTCCTCTTTTTTTCTTTTCTTCTACTTAAAAGCCTAGTAGCCAGCTACGTTTTCTAGATCTCTCTCTCTTCCCTTTTTGACCTAAACTTAATTTTCTAGTGGAATACCCTTTTTCTTAACCTTTACTATTCAAACTCACTCCCAAACAAAAATTCAAGTATATATATAGACACTATTTTTAGACTATAAATTAGTTTATATTAGATAATATTAATATTCATGGGATTTCATCTCAAAATTAATTGGCAACCAGAGGAGTAGCCTACTTGCAATGATCGCAGAAGCCAAATCTGGTACATTTTGCCAATGAAGTTCTTGTCTAGTCCAAGGCTAAAGACTGTCCATGAAGAAAGATGCCTTCCTCAACGGATCTCCGACCGGGTGCTCGTTTAAGTTTTTGGGTAATGATACCATATCGATATTAATGGATTCCATAAATCAATTGGTCGCAATGAGAGGATAAGAGCACATTATAAGCCATTTTTAGGGTGTTTGAGAGTTATGTGATAAGATTAGTGATTCTGGGAAAAGAGATTTTTCTTGTAATTGATTTTCCAAAAAATCACTGGAAAAGTGATACTTTAAAATACTACAATGAAAAAAAAATACGAATACAAAATATTATATCTTTAAGGATAAATAAACCACTGTCTTGTCTTATTCTTTTTATGTGTCAATTGTCATCTTGCAATGATATGTAATGTTTTTTTTAATGCAACTTTTACGAGAAAATCATGATGACTTGAATTACTTTATAACTTTGTTCAAAGTAGGTCTAATTTTGATAAATAGAATATAATAATAAACATTTATTTTCAGTCTCATAATTTTATTTAATTCATATATACTAGAAGGTGTTGTATATATCCATATCCATTCTAGAAGATAATTATTAGTGTTCTCAAACTTTTAAGTGAATAGGAAAAGTAAATATATTATCTTTTAGGGCATGTGTTTAACTTCGCGTGGCTTAATAATGAAGCGAATCAAATTAATTAACAAATAAGTATTATTGTAAATCTTAATTTATAGATTTATTTTCTTTTTCTTTTTCTTTTTATTTTGTTGACTACTTTGTTGATATTTTAAATAATAATATATAGAAATATATTTATTCATTCTTGAAATATTGGATTGGTAGATCATGTATATTTTAAGACTAAATATATCTGGTGCCTAATTTTTTACATAATTTTTGGTCCTTTCTTTTAAGATTCACTATTTTATCCATAACTGTATTAAAAAAAAATTCTCAATTAACCAAAGTGCTTCCTGAAAAAAGTTAAAATTTTATTTACAAATCATTAAATTACTATATTTATTTTATAATTAAAATATTTAAACGACAAATGTTTTGGTCCCTGCTTTCCATATATTTATTAAAATGCTTTATATTAAAAAAAAAATTGTTAAGAGACTAAAATGATCAAAAACTAAATGGACCAAAATGAATATTTTAAAAGTAAATGGATCAGATCAAAATGAATATTTCCAAAATGAATATATATTTTCAAAGTTTATGAAAATTGACCAAAATGGAGGAAAGATGAGTTTTTAAAAGTGAATTAAGGGACAAAATATAAAGATAATAATTGAATTGAGGCAATATTAAAAAAGGAGAGCATATATAATAGAGAACACATAGAGAGGTGTTTTAGTCAAACAAAACTTGAAATTCAATTATGAAAAAGGAAGGGGATCCATACATCACACTCTTCCTTTAATTATTATACATAAATAATCCATCTTTCATTTGCACACTCATTACTCTTGCAATATGAAAGAAGCAAATAAAAAAAAACCAAAAATAAAAAGAAACTTAAATGAGTAGAAATTATTTGAAAAATGAAGTAATTAATTCTTCATTTTTTTTCTCTTCAAATTCTAGTGGATGGATTGGAAGGGTGGTTGGTGCTGGCTGTGTTTGTGTTGGAAGGACTGTTGGTGCTGGCTGTGTTTGTGTTGGAAGGGTTGTTGCTTGGGCTGTTTGGGCTATCTGTGTTCATCCCAAGTGTGTTCTTCACAGCCTCAGCCGCTCCCTGTGCCATGTTCTTCACTTGCTCTCCAGTCTACACCAAAAAAAAACCAACCGCTCGGTTAAAAAGATGTCGTGCTCTTCATTAGATATAGATTTGAAATACATTTTAGAGACGTTAACCTGTTGGAGGAAATTTGCAGCTTGGCCCTTAAGATCAGAGGCATTTTGGGCAGATTGATCATGCGTAGATGAAGCGTTGTCGTGGGACGCTTGGTTCAAGACCTCATCCTTCTTCATCTAAAAATCGAAACAAAAATAACAAGTAAATAAATATACATCTATATAATGTTGTGTTTGATAACGATTTTGTTGTACCTGAGCTTGGCCAACGACCTCACCGGCCTTGTGGCTGATTTCCTGACGGCCTGCCATTTTGAGTGATTTGTATTTTTTGTTGAAAAACTAGAGAAGAGAAAGTATGAATGAGTAAAGGCAAATGTGAAATGTGATACACTGAAAGATGATCAAAATCAGACATTATATAGAGCTTCAAAATGTTCATATTTGGTTGGTGATTGGGCGATAAAAATGGCTTGGCTTGCACTTGGCTGTTTGTTGGCGATCAATCCCTGAGGTTGTGGGAGAGATTTGGGATTGGACTGTTTCAAATGGTTGGCCAAATCTCAACAAACCAAAGAATTTTTTTGGACACCTTTTATTATTATTATTTTTTTCATATATTTTCTTTTAAAATGACACATTTCACTAACTAATTAGTTATAGAATTTGTGGATTTTTACTGTGTACCAAAATCAAGAGTATAGAGGCGAGAAGAATTGCCAAAACGAGTATAGCTCAGCGGTAATTGACATATACCTTCAACCGAGAGATTGAGTTCGAATCCTCTCCCCAACATATTGTACTAAAAAAAGAGACGAGAAGAATTACGTAAACCTAAAAGTATACCATCTTAAGGCGGAAGTAGGCAAAATACTGATTTAAAACCGTGTGGGTTAATTAATATAAATTTGATTTCTTATGTTCTTAATTCTTTACATATGATTGATAATATAATATATCTGTTACTTCAAGAAACAAAAAGAATATTAGATGAAGGCTCAATTATTTTGGGTCTAATAATGTACAAATCTCGAATTATATATACATATAAATGAAATTTCTACCTACAATATTTTGAACGGAAACATGAGTAAACAAAAAAACCTACTATATATTAGCTCTAATTTTAAAGTGGAAAAATTTTTAGTATTGAAGAAGTAGATTCTCATTCCATCTTTGAATAATATTTTATTTTATTTTATGGATTCACTTAAATGTTGAAATTATGACAAATTAAAAAATGTAGTATAGAAATTTCAACTCTAAAATTTGATGATCAAATATTTTACGGTGTAGTTGGAACAACTAAGTCTGTTTCTTGAAATGTCAATTGATTGTGAATTTGAAACCTCATTCCAGATGTTGTATTAAAGAAGAAGAAAAATCTACTTCTTGAAAACTTACTTAAAAAAAGATAAATAGAAAAATAATAAATTAGGTCATGATTATCTTTGATAATTTATGTCGCTACAATATATATGTATCAAATATTTATTTCGATAAATATAAATATACCTTTAAATTCTCATCCCTACACAAATAACAAGGTAATTGTGGTTATATATTTTTTTATATCCACCAAAATGATTTAGTAAAGAATTAGTAAACAAAAACTAAAACAATGCTAGGTAAAATATAGAAAGTAAACCATAACCTAGTTTCAAAACCAAAAACAAAATAAACATTGTTGTGAGTGAGAAAGGGTGAATCATGCCGCTCTAGACGATAGTAGGGACCAATTCTATTGCAATAAGTCGGCCTGTGGAGAAGGCAACGCACATTTAACTATGAATGTACCGGTGAACCTACAGTACACATCCTAATAATAACAAGCCTATAGCTAGCGACAAACATGTTGGCAGGCAGCGGGAACAAGATCTCATGCCTGAAATATCCTCCAATGACTTGTCAAAGGGCGTACGGAAGAGGGGCACGCTACATCCAACGTCAAGTGGCCTCTTCTGATAGCATTCTTGCATATATAAAGGGGAGGACACCCAAGTGATAAACACTAAATAAAAGACACAAAGGCTCTCCGTATCTTCTTTCTCGATCTCTAACTTGAACGCCATAGAATATTTGATAGGACATCATTGATGTCAAGGTCCATTCTTACGCAAGAACTCTATTCGACGACCTTCACATTGGACACATAAAATTTTATAAATTAAAATAAAATTTAGTCAACTTAAACATAGTGTAACCGGTCACAGCTACACATGTATTAAATATGGATGGGAAAAAAAGATAGAGTTTAAATTAAATATTAATTATTGACGTGTAAGTAATAAGTAAGCGAATATACGAGATTGCACCGCCACGGCGAACAGCACACAGAAATTCATCTTTTTTCTTTTTGGTTTTCATTCTTCTAATAACAACACGAATAACAAAGCAATGTTATCAGATGTGCATTTAAGAGGCAGCCACCGAGGGAAGCATGGATAGACACGTGGCACTAGTGTATAGGCTGAGTCATCGATTTGGTGCTGCAAAATCCTGTGAAAATCAGAGCATCCTTCATCGTCATCCCCCCACATGGCACGTAAACCCTACACGTGTCAGCTCCCTGGACACGTGTCACTCCATTGGCCCATACCAGAACCTTATAAATGTGCTTGGTTCCATCCCCCGCTACCCTCACAATTCACAAAGCAACCAAAATACGAAAATACACAATCACAGATCAAAAAATGGCAACCCATGATCAGGGCTTCAGAGCTGGCGAAACCAAGGGCCGAGCCGAGGTTTTTTTTTTTTTTATCTTTTTTATTTATTTTCTTAAAATGCAATTCTTGTTATTATTTTTAATTTTAATTCTTTTAATTTTAGGAGAAGACGAATCAGATGATGGATACGATGGGGGAGAAGGCCCGAGAGACAAAGGACAAGACTTACGAGACTGGCCGGGCCGCGAGGGATAAGGCCCAGGAGTCGAAGGAGCAGTCCGGAAGCTATTTGTCGGAGAAGGCCCAGGCGACGAAGGAAAAGGCCTCGGACGCGGCCCAAGCGGCCCGAGAGAAGGCCCAATCTGGAAAAGAGGCGACCGGAGGGATTCTGGAGCAGACGGGTGAGAAGGTGAAGAGTATGGCCCAAGGAGCAGCGGATGCTGTGAAAAGCACTTTTGGTATGGCCCAGCACGATGATGACGTGGACAAACAGAGTGACCCCACCACTGTCTACCGGGGCTGATTCGTCATTTTGCCAACTGTAGTGTCTTTTATTCTCAGTTTGTGTTTGGTTTGTACTTTGTAATCTAAAAACGATGCCTTCTCCTCTTTTGTCGGAGAAGGCCTTGTTTGGTGTCTGTATTTTCTTAAAATGGAATAAGAATATCTTTATTATCCTTACACTTGGTTTTGCTTTTCACCCATCCAAACACAAAATATTTGTTCAAAATAAGGTTATTTTGAAATTAACACTGCATCAAGCCTTTAAGATAGGCGAGTGAGTTTAGCTCAATTGTCAATTTCGAGCTCATTTTATGTGACAATTAGTAAGCTAACTAGAATATTTTAGAATATGGTTTGCTCAAATAATATAGGTGAGTTAGGTGACAATTCTTGTTTCAGATTCATTTTATGCGGCAATTAGTAAGCTAACTAGAATATTTTAGAATATAGTTTGCTCAAATAATATTTTACATATTTTAAAAACATTCTTGAAAGATAAGGGTGGTATGGTAGTATCGAAACTTTATTTTTCCTCTTTTTTGGAATTTGGCTAATAAATTACTTTGTTATCATCTTTTTTTTTTTTTCGCTACTCAGCCCCGTTTGGAAAGTAGAGGTGACAAATTTTAAATTAGAGTTGTAAAGAATGAGTCCACACAAATTTGAAATTTCGATAATGGGTTTATATAATTCTCATTAATTAGGACTAATCATGTCAAAATTACAGATCAAGCTCATTTTTGAAAAGGGAAGGTCAAAAAATGAAATCCTACGTAAAGGATTTTGTGGCTTCATTATTATCACTCACTGATGTCATCAACTTCACCAGCACTAAGATCACCAAAAGCTTCTTCTCTTTCTTCTTCTTCTTCATCTTCATCAGTTTCCATTTCATCTCCCGATTCCTGATCATCGCTGTCGTCCTCGTCCTCGTAAATAATCGGCACAATGGCATCATTGTCATCCACCTCCTCATCAAGAACCTGCCAAAAAAACTCATTCAGCTCGAAAAAGGTCTCTGAAATTCCAATGAAGCAATGTTGAGTTGAGGGAGAAGAATGCACTTACCCCCGTGTAAAGGAAGTCCAAGCTACTTGATAGCAGAACAGCGGATTGGAAAGTTGAAATTCTAGACTCAATGAGCTGACACATACATTGAAATTATATTTGTATTAATCTAAGCTGATGATGATTTAACCAATCTCATAAAACAAACCATTGCTAACCTGATATAGAGAATTCAGGGCGAGCAGAGAAGATTCTTGGGACATTATTCTACTTGCATGTTGGAGAAGTAAACCTCTCAGCCAAGGGAGGGCACATACAAGAATTGCCCCTCTGAAAATAAGACATGAAGTTTTTTATATGATATTCTTGATTTTGAGGACACAGTTTAAAGATAACAAAAGGCCAGATTAAGTGAGATTACCTCGACTGGATAATGGATATCAGAGAGTGCAAAAGCTTAAGAACATCAGATGAATTCAATTGTGCTATTGATTTTGAGATAACCTTATAATAACAGACAATATATGAGATGTATCAGCATCAAAATGGTTAGTGGGCAAAGTAGACGTTGTGGGATTGTTTACAAAATGAATACCTTATCATCCTTGGTATATAAGCATTCTAGCAAAAGGGCGCGATCGTCAGCATGTAGTGCTTGCTTGAGCAAAACCTGAACAGAGTCTGCACTTGGTGGTATTGCAGGGACGGAAGGTTCTTCTTGTTCATGGCTCTCATCTTCGTCCTGGTCTAGCAGATTCAAACTTGCAAGTTTCTCTCCCATGGTTGGCTCATTTATATCATCATTGAATAAAACATCAGATGCGTCTCCATTGCCTACATTCCCAGATAGACATCAAATTAATGTAGCTCAATGACAATTCAACTGCCACAAGCAATAGCGCAAAGACGATCCTTACCAACACCGCTGACATCTCCAGCTGTCAGACTATCAATATCAGATGCTGCTCTTTTCTTTTTGCTTTTCTTACTTTTAGGCGTAGTAACTGCTTGTTCGATCTCATGGGGACCTGTGACAAAGTATAAGCATTGTACTTACCTGTATGAGAATGGGGACGCATGGAAAATAAGGAAAAGAATGGCAAACATGATAATTTTGTCAAACCTTGTCCAGAAAAATCATCATTTTGTTGGAGGGTTTTCTTCTCATGCGCAGTATTTAGGTCTTCCTTCACGGAATAACCAATATTAAAAAGACTAAGCTGCGGTTGGTCCATGGAGCCATGAGTAACAAGAACTGACACTTCATTGTCTCCTGAACCATCTATTCTGGAAGCGATGACAGAAATTCGATTCTTCTTAGCACTTCCATGGTTTTCCTCAGCTGATTGGGCGTCATTAGCTTTAACAGTGACTTTATTTGGACTAACCTCGTCTTCTGATAGAATCTTTAATCTCCATACATAAGCTACACCCGATACTGATACTGACAAGACAACTATGCTATCTTCTTCATTGCTAATATTTTTGCACTCAGAAACAAATGGAGGATGTTTCATGGAAAGAACAGGACCTCTACTAAGTTTTCTTGCACTCATGTCACACCACCACACTTGAAGATGTTTGGCTCCAAATTCTGATGTAATTATTGCTTTGGCATCATCAGATATAGAAACAAGCTTCACAGGACCCTAAATTTTGAATGGTAGAGTATACTCAGTGAATTGAACGCATTCAGAAGTAAGAAATTTGGGTAGCTCACCAATTTATCAGAGTGCACCATAAGCTCATCCCCGTTATCTGTGCTTAAAATCCTCAACTTTTTGCCAGCAACAGCTAAGTACTTCTCATCTGGCAAAATAGTAACTCGTTAAGTCAGTAAAGGTGCTGCCATTGCCCACTTAGCAGAGCATGGATAAGTAACTAACCAGGTGAAAAGGCTGAAGAAGAGATTGATTTTTTCGAAGCTTTGAACTCCTTGATAATGTTTCCTGTTTCAGTGTCCATCTCAGATGCCATTCCATTACTTCCAACCGTCCGCAGTCTACGGCCTTTGTTCGCAAAAGAAAGGCCAATAACTCCACTTCACAAATCAGGGTAAACAAAATACTTCATTCGCCATAACAAATAAAATAACAAACTAAGCAGATTTCAGTGTAGATTAGTAGAACCATAATTCATGTGTAAAATGAACTTACTTCAGAGATAGCTGCACTATCATAAAAGACTGAAATAAATATTATCTTTTAGATGTCTCGATCATGAAATTTATATATTTAAGGTGTGTGAACAAGGGAAGCCCCCATCCTATTAATCATTATAACATTTTATTCTCTTATCATTTTTTATCATCTAAACGTATTGCCACAATGAATGCATCAATGTGAAGCAACTAACATGGTCAATATTCGATCAGTAAATTTCATAAAATTTGTGCCCTCGAGCCTGAGTTCCATCCGATCATTCGACATTCTTTAAATTACCAAGTTATGAAGAGTCAGCAGAATTGATTACATACCCAATATGGCAACCTGCAGATACCCACTTCGTCTCACCACTTGAAGCATTTACAGCCAACACATCCCCATTATCGGTACCGATAGCAATTACACAAGAACTCTTTTTCTTTTGATGCTGAAAATTTGAGCCAAAGATTACATATATCAGACTCCCAACACATACAATACGATACCAAAGAATTAAACTTAAAAATGAACTTTCCTCACCTTTTTCCGCACAAAACAGCAGGCCAAACAGGAATAACCCACATCGGTTTTTCCCTCAGAATCCTTCCACTCTGCCAGTAAACTTCCATCACGAGCACTCCAAATCTAACAGATACATAAAAAGCGTCCCCATGAAACTAGTAAAGTAAATAACATCAATATATCCACGAGCATCGCAAAAAACTTCCATTTGCAACCACAAGGAGCCCCACATAAAGAACACAGAGTGAAGGAGCTTGCCTTGACAGTTTCGTTGGGGGACAAGATAGCCAGATAGTCGCCGTCGGGTGTGAAAGCTGTGATGGGCGGCGATTTCAGCATTTCCTTCTTCATTATCCCAGTCGATTTTTGGTGATCAAATGCAAAACTGCAAACCAGGAGAGATTTGAAGGGGTGAGACGGCACTTTCCTGCTTCTGAGGGTTTTGGCCTTCTGCTCTCTGCCTCTGGGGTTTAATTCCCTTCTCGCTTTTTTTGTACGATTTTCTTCTTCTGGCTTCCGGTTCAGAAATATGTTGGTTCGAACCGACCGCTTGGTAAAACTTTTTTCTGGTGGCACCTTGTTTAGTGATTCTAAAATATTAAATACTATTTTTATATCTCCACTTTTGAATCTTACTTTGAACTAATATTCAGACGCTGTATTTTAAAATATATAATTTATTTTTATCAAAATTTTGATATGATATTTTAGCAACTAAATTTATTGAGATGTGATTATAAATTTATATAAAATATGTTTTTATTGTATATAAAATTTATATTAAATTCTGTAAATAATGATTAAAATTGTCATTTTTATTTAAAAAAATTACAAGGCCAATATTACAAAAGTAGAGAAATTAAAACAAATCCGAACTTTAAAAGTATAGAAACCGAATATTTTAAAACTATGAAAACTAAAATGAACCCATTATGATTTATTGATTCAAAAGACGAGATAAAACTAAAAGAGAAAATTGAAATATCGAGTTAAAATCTCATTACTATCCCGTAAAATTAGTCAAGGTGTGATAGAAATTGGCATAAACCCTACGATTCACAGATAAAATGAACCGAAGCGAGACAAAATATCCTTTAAACTCAAATAAATAATTAATAAACCAAAAGTCATTTTGGCATACAGTCAGACTCGGTTTCGTTCGTTCTCTCTGTTCGTTTTTTGCATCTTCTTGCTAAGTGCTTCAGCTCGGACCAGGTTTGAACGTGGTTCTCTGACTTGATTCCATTATTTCTTGATCTGTATCACTTTGTTACTGAGATTATAATTGTGATTTGTGTTTGTCAATTCAAATTTTTCAATGAGTTAGTTGCTTTCGTAGCCGAGTAGAGTGAAGGTTTTAGTCGAATTCCTTCTTGTTTAAGGAGCACATATGCAGTTAGTTCTTGCCCAACCACTGTTTTCTTCTTTTTCGTGAGATTCTGTAAATTCATCATTCACTGATCCTCACAAAATTTCAATACTCGTTATGTTCATTGCGTTTTACTTTTCTTAGCACCGATTTCCGGTGAAATAATAAGTTAACTAAGCCAGGTCTTGACAGATGGGGGAACTGGCAGCTGAGAAGCATGTTAAGTACATCTTATCTGTTGAAAAGGTGCGTTTTCCATTCATAGATCTCATGGGTTTTTAGCTGTGTCCTTCTATGCGCTTTTAAAATACAATTCTATCTGTTTATTCTATGTACCATATCTTAGGTCGTTTTATGCACAGAGAAAGGATGATTTTCAATCTGTGGTGATGGAACATCTAAGAATGAATGGTGCATACTGGGGGCTGACTACACTGGATATTCTTGGAAAGCTCAACACTGTGGATGTTGATGAGGTTGTTTCATGGGTCATGTCATGCCAACACGAGTCAGGTTTTCAAAAAATTTACTTTCTTTGTTTCTGCCTGTGACTGCGTGTTTGCCTCGAACGAAGAGGCTAGTTCAATTACAGTTTCGTGGCATCAGATTTGAGGATTGATTACCTGATTCTTATCTGCACCAATGTGGTGTTATTTGGGGATTGAGTTATTTATAACTAATGCAGATAATTGATGCTTGGTTATACAGGTGGTTTTGCTGGCAACATCGAACATGATCCACACATACTTTACACCCTCAGTGCTGTGCAAGTCTTGGCACTTTTTGACAAGTTAGATGTTTTAGATGTTGATAAGGTGACAAATTGTATCCTTTTATATTTTGACTCCCCACCCCCTTTAGTAGGACATTTTGTTTTTCGCTTGAGCTCTACTTTCGTTAAAAGAAGAAAAAAATATGGAAAACACCTTTTCGTTGATATAATATAAAGGTATAAACAGTATCTAAGCTATCCTTTAAGAGATTAAAACAAACTACCCTAATTTGAGTTAATTATAGGAGTATAATTACAAGAAAAACTTAACAATGATCTCCAGCAAGAACATTGGTATTTGGCTAGGTGAAAAACCTCTTCCCAGTCCCTACACTTTTTGTTTAAAAGGCCATACAAAAACAGAGACCAGCTCAAGGAAAGGATTCACCAGAAAATAACTGCAAGAAATGGCTACAATCTCTTGATCGGGAGTGAGGGAAAATTACAGAAATACTTAGTTACATAGATCTAAAAAGAGGCATTAAAATGCACCATATTTCGAACATCTCCCAAGACTCCTCTAACCCTGAAAAGTCTTCCATCTTTTTCCGGCTAGGTATACCCAAGGTATGGAAAATTGGTTAGCCAAAGTACAACATCCTCTATTTAAAAAAGGAGGATGTAAAACCACTTTCTCCATCATAGTATGACAATCAAACAAAGGTGCCAAAGCCACCCTGAAAGTCTGCCAAAACTTCTAATAAATCTTGACTGCAAGGTGACAATTATGAATTTGAAGAATGTGATTCAAATCTCCTTCTGCCTGCTTGCATGGTAACACCGTTGAGGATTAAGCACAAAAGAGGATGACTTCTGTAAGGTATCAGATATTAGGGGAATTGACCCTCCCATGAACGACGAGATTTCTTGTGACACTTAACCCTATTCTAGATGTTGTTGGCTTGCAAAATGAAGACGGTTCCTTTTCTGGGGATATTTGGGGTGAAGTTGATTCAAGGTAGTCCCTACTTTCTTTTTTAGGAATTCATGCCTCATACAATCTTCACGAGTTACATAGAAAAGAATATTTATGAGATTCATTTTCTTTCTCCTTTCAGATTTTCGTATATTGCAATTTTATGTCTATCATTGTTACATCAATTGGATAAAATCAATGTTGAGAAGGCTGTGAGCTTCGTCGTTAGTTGCAAAAATATGGATGGTGGTTTTGGATGCACACCTGGTGGAGAGTCGCACTCTGGGCAAAGTATGTTAGCCATTTCTTTATCTTCCATGTAATCCTCCAAAATTGTTTCTAAAAATGACAGTTTACAAAATGAGATAGCAGATAATATGTTATCAATGCTGGTGGTAGTACAATGTTTCTTTTCGTCTGTAAACATTATATTGGTGAATTAAGTGCAACTAAAATATTCAGGCGAGAATATGTGTCTGATTTACAAAATATTGTTGACGTAAGCTCAACTAGCAGATTTTTTTTTTTTTAATATAGCTCAACTAGCAGTTACTTTATACTTACTCTGTACTTTAGTTCAATGCACCTATCTAAATGTCAATTCATTGCTGTAACTACAGTTTTCTGCTGTGTTGGTGCTCTTGCTCTTACGGGGTCTCTTCACCATATCGACAGGGATCTTCTTGGTTGGTGGTTATGCGAGCGGCAAGTGAAATCTGGAGGTCTTAATGGTCGTCCTGAGAAACTCCCCGATGTGGGTTTGGAATTTGTTCATTGTGACCACGTTTGTGTTCATTAGTTGTTCTTGTACTCCCACTTACGAATTGTGTTTTATTGCTTCAGGTCTGCTACTCTTGGTGGGTTCTTTCTAGCTTGATCATGATTGACAGGGTTCACTGGATTAATAAAGAAAAGCTCATTCAGTTCATCTTAGATTGCCAGGTTGTTTAAGCCAAATCGCTCCATTGTCTAGCTTGGCTTCTGTATTGGGGGATTGTATTGTTTCTAATCTCGTTAAGTTCCATGATATCGTTCTCGGTTCTTGGACAAGTGCAGGACACAGAAAATGGAGGAATTTCAGATAGACCAGATGATGCTGTTGATGTATATCACACATACTTTGGGATAGCTGGTACATCTTACTCTCATTTCCTATTTTGTTAACCCAAACACATTTATTGTTTGCTAATGTTAACATCTTATATAAATGCATACATTAATGAATGTTGCAGGACTTTCACTTCTTGAATATCCAGGGTTGAAAGCCATAGATCCAGCATATGCGTTACCAGTCGATGTCGTGAATAGGATTTTCCTGGGCAAAAAGCATGCTATCTAAGAGAATTAGATCTACGTCGTGTTCCTGGTAATTTAAACTCCATATCGTCTCTGTGTAATGATGGGAAGAAATTTATCATCTTGTCACATTTAGGCCTTTGGATCGTAATTTTTGGTGTGGCCATATTGGGAGCAGTAGGAATTTGAAACTTGTCTGTTCTTCCATATGGTCTGATATCATGACAGAAAGGTTTATCATGTATTGTATTTCACAGGCTGGTTTGGAAATAGTATAATTATTTGGCAGTTGCCTATTTATTTTTCATCTTGTGACGGGGTCTGTGGTTAACCGATATTGAACACCATCATTTAGTTATTGTAATTCCTTAATGTCAAAATCAGTTTACAGTACCAAGAGGATGATAGTTTAAATTCTTTTGTTTTTTAACGTTTATTTTGGGAGTAGGATGTATAATGTTTTAAACAATTGAGTTACGTTAAATTATGAATTTATTTTGTTTTAATTTTTAATATGTTATAATATCATTGAGTAATGTCGTAGCGAGTATAGTTCAGCGGTAATTGATATATATTTGAAATCAAGAAGTTGTGAGTTCGATCTTCACACATATTTGCTAAAAAAAAAGAAAAAAAGTTATATTTATTTCCGGCCTCAAAAGTCAAATTATAGTTATTTGGTACCCTATTTTACACCTATTAGCTACATGGGTGTCTACGGATATTAATGTTAACATAGAAGCTACAATATCAACTCGCTAATTCGTTGGCAAAATATTGGATCAATGTGGTCATTCAATTTTTTTTTCCTTAAGTACATGTGGATGGGAAATCTCACAACCTCTCGATTAGAGATATATGTCAATTACGGTTGAACTATGTTCGTTTGGGCGGATCAATGTGATTAGAGATTTATAACCATCATGGAATGGTTTAAGTGGTCAATGAGGGCTATTGTAAATAGCAAAGGACTTGGATGGAATGAGTTCAAACCATGATGATTACCTACCTAGGATTTAATATCCTACGAGTTAATTTGTCAACCAAATGTAGTAGGGTCAGACGGTTGACTCGTGATTAGTGGAGGTAATTACAATGACTAAATCAGTATAAACTAAAATTTATTGACTAATTGTTATTTCAATAAAATTATAGGGGTTGCCAAAACGAGCATAGCTTAGTGGTAATCAACATAATATTTTCAACCAAAGAGTTCGTAAATTCGATCCCTCCCACATGTTGTACTAAAAATAAATAAATAGGAGCTAAAAGTGTCTTTTACTAAATAGATAGGAATTAAATTTAGGAATCAAAATGAGACAAAACTCTAATTACAAAGATTCAAATTAAAGAAAATATATTTTTACATTGGTAACAATTTAATTCATGAACTTTAGTATGTAATAATTTAGTCTATATAGATTAAAATTTGCAATGATTTAGTGTTTGCAATGAAATATTTTATTAAATTTCTTATATACGTAGATCAATAAACTAATGATAGACCAAGTGTGTTTATAAATTACAAAAACTTAATCGTTGTATGATAAAAATCGACATTTAGTTTTGATAATATTTTTTCACAATAGGGACTAAATTGTTACTAATTTTAAACTACATTGACTAAATGGTTACGGTCTACAATTAAAGACTAAATTATTATAAATTTGAAAGAACATGATATAATTTGTTACGTACTAAAATTTAGAAACCAAGTTTCATTGCTTTAGTGAACGTAGTTCCTCGAAAGAAGTTTTTATGGGATCCCTATCTACCAAAATTTTGACTTCTGGTTCCGGCGAACGAATAATCATTGAGTCCTCCTCTTTCTGGACAACACATACAAATATATATATATATATATATATATATATTTCAACTAAATAATTTAGGTAAGAATTATAGTGGCGAGCGAACACGAGCATAGCTAACAGCAATGGACGGAGATTCGAACCCCATGCATTTGTATTACATATACATATATTTACATATATATGTATACATATATATAGTGACTGAAAAGGACAAAGCCATTACTTAGCGTCTTCCCATTTCTGACGTCTCTTTGTTTACAGCACCTTTCGCTGCCTTCGACTTCGTGAAAGTCTCTCTTTTCCAAATCGGCGATAAGGGCTCCGGTAAATTCTGCAACTTTAGATGATCGACCCAATTACAATTTAGAATACGTGTTCATCTTTCTTTTGATTTTTCAACATCTCCTACTGCTGCTCACAAATTCGTTTACACGGATTTAGAAATATCTGCCATTAATTTCTCTCTATTTTTCTTTTCTGGGTATCTCAATTTTACAGTTGATTGTTATCAAATTCCGACTATTAGAAATCGTAGCCTGTGTGTTTCTTGATCACCCATGGTTTACAATCTGTATGCGAGGAGAAACATTTTCTCGTGCAATTTAGTCCTTAACTAATGTTAGTGTCTGGAAGTTTTCTTTTGAATCGCGGAAAATCTTATGTGGTTAGGTGATTTCTTGGTGTTTTCAGTTTTATTTATTTATTTTTGTGCACAACTTTTAAGTTTTGTGCAATAGAGAGAGATTTAGAAATAATAATTAAGAAGCTCCTATCCAAAAAAATTGATGATCTAGAAAAATTATCAACCCTTATGAGCCATAATTTTCATCTTACTCTTATATATGCATTTTGCAATATCAAGAAATGTCTTGTGTTTTGTAGGAACTTGTTTGTTCTTGCGATCTTGCGGGGTCTTGAGCATCAAAATAGCGTAGTGTTTTATAGCCTATTCTGATCAGCTATTAATGTTAAAGGGGTTTGTGCCAACAAATCAGGGAGCTATTAATACTTGTCAATAGGACCTGTAAAAATCAGAATAGAAAGCTATCCATCATCAGATACTTTTTTTGTTTTTCTATCTGATGCTCTTGTACCTTCTTGGTTTTTCTTTTTCATTAGCCTTTTTTTCTCTTTCTTTGTTTCCCTGAGAAGCGAGTCGGATTACTTTTATCTTTATGATAACATGTTTGCTTCTGCATTGTTTTGACTGTTTCTTTTCTTGTTCAAGTTTAAAGCATCGAGATGCCAAAGATTAGAAGGGCACGCTCTTTGTCACTGGTAAAAAGTAGGACATCTCCTTATGCAGTCAGCAGAAATCGCACCGAGTCATGTGAAAATGTTTGTTCATTAGAATCAGCTCAAAATGTTAAGGAATGGGAGCAAGCTAGGTGCCCCATCTGCATAGAACATCCGCACAATGCTATTCTCTTAAAATGCTCCTCTCATGAAAGAGGTTGCAGGCCTTATATGTGCAACACCAGCTACCGCCACTCGAACTGCTTCGAACAATTCTGTAAGTTATATGGACCAATCCCTTTAATTACCCAATTGCAAGAATTTCCTTTTACAAGTGTAGCCTCTCACAGACAAATGGATGAATGTTCACCTGCTGTGCAAAATGGTCTTGGTGGGAATCAGCTTGCATCAGAGTTGATTTGCCCTCTGTGTCGGGGCGGTATATATGGATATACGGTGGTAGAGCCTGCTCGACAATACATGAATTCCAAAGTGAGGAGTTGTTCATCTGAAACATGTGATTTTAGTGGAACGTATTCTGAACTTAGGAAGCATGCTAGGTCTGAACATCCTTATGTCCGGCCATCAGAGGTGGACCCAGCATGTCGCCATGATTGGGTAAGATTGCAGCACGAAAGGGATTTGGAGGATGTACTTAGTCTTGTGCAGTCTGACTATGCTGTAGGCAGTGATGAAGACTTGAGTTTTACAAGGGCTATTAGAATTTGGATGTCATCCTTTGTATCCGAAATGTATGATTCACTCCTGGACTTGCTTTCAGACAATATGTTGGATGCTTTGAGAGACTTAGAGTCATTGCAGGAAAGAATGGAGAATGTGCAACGTGATCTCGATTCCAATTTTTCTGCTGGAGTGATTAACAATTTGTCAATGGAGACTAGGCCTTATTCCCAACATCCACAACGACGGGATTTTAGATTATCTCAACAAATTCCTCGAGCCACTCTGTTCCATGGGCAGAATCAAAGGCAAAGGGCAGAGGAGAGTACATCCCGGTCTCGACAACTGCGTTGGCGGAGTCAGACATCATTTGGTAGACACCAAAAATCATTTGAGAGCACATCACACCCCCAACAACCACACAGGCAACATGGAAGCATGTATAAGAGTGTCCCTCGAGCTTCTAGGCTTCGTTGGCGAAATCAAAGGTGTTCATCATCATCAAACCACAATGAGAGGTATGTTTATACTTTTTAACTTTCAATGTACAAGCCTTGGGCACAACATGTCTTGGAAATTTTGCAATTTCTGAGTTCTGGCACCATTTTCGTAGATTCGGGATTAAGTTAAAATTTTATGAAATGTTATAGGGAATCACAAATGACAATGAGTAACTTGTCATTTCAGCAGGCAGGGAAATTGTTAGTTTTTTCCTTCTCTAATGGCTTATAAAATCCAATGAGGGAATTGGGCAGGCCCTGTTCTTCTTAGTTAAATGAATGATCCTTGGGGAAAATGAGATCCCATGTGAGAAGAAGAAGCAGTTGATAGTAGCTGTTCATTAAATCATTCTGCGGGTCTTTGGGTTTGACTTAAGATGTCGAACTTGTACTTGAAATGATGACTTTTCCCCTATTTATTCAGGTGAAAGAATCGGGGTGCGGGTTTTGCAGATGTTTCCATTCCAATCTTAAACTTCAATTTCTCATGCCAATTGCCTAAAAGGAGATTCGAAGGACATTTCATATTCATGGGATTCTTTTCTAATGGAAAAAGAACTGCATTTACTTTAGCCAAGAAATCATGGGAGTATTTCAGCTATTTCCACGTGGTTTTTTTATTTACTTATCATATAATATAAATTACCACATGTACAGTTGGCACTTGAAGTTGACGTGGACTTGAATGTCTTTGTCCATACGTATCTTAAGACTTTTGTTTCCATCTGAGATCTGAGATCATATGCATATAATTTGTTTATCTTCGCAAGTAAGGATTAAAATATTGATATAACTATAGCTCAATTGATCGAGGTATCTATCTTCGATCAAAAAATTGTGAGTTCGAGTCATCATCTCCGCATGTTGTAGTAAAAAAAAATATCAATATTAACGTTAATGTCGATGTCGATGTCGATATTGTAAGGATATATTAATGGATGCATTGATATCGGGTAAACCAAAAAATTTATAAAAATTATTTCAAGTAATAATCAACTTCTTTTCACTTTTTTAAATAAGTTCTATATTCTTTTATTTCTATTTATATTCATATTGATGAGTAACTAACAATATTTTCGTGTTTCATGAATATTGATATATTGGATATTTATATGAGATATATCAGAGATATCAGTTGATACTTAACATCAATATCAAATAATCTAATTTACATTATATCGACATAATATTTTAATCAGTCAAAAGCTCAAGTTTCCATCTCTTTATTTCTTTAATGTCGTTTTCATATTTGACCCTTTTTGTTTGTTTATTGATAGTTGACTCAATGTTTTAAAAAATAAAAATAAAAAAGATACCTATCTAAGTGTGTTAATTCTTTTGAAATTAAGGTTTTTTTTTTTTGAGAAAATTTAAATTAAGTCTTTGTAATCCATAAATGTAAAGAAAATGATAATAAATAAACTAAAAATGATACTTTTTACCAAATTATCAATTGGTAGTAGGTATATGTATATTAATAGATCAATTTTCTATGATAACAAACGATTATAGATGGCGATGGCGTGTTAAATCCTATAAAATGAGAGTTTTTTTACTACAACATGTGGAGGTGAGGAATCAAATTCACAACCTGATATATGTTAATTACCGCTAAACTATGCTCACTTTGAGAGATGGAACGTCTATGGATGAAACTAAAATATAAAGGATGTTGAACTCCATTACTAAATAAAACATCATTATTTTGTCTTTTTAACTTTAACCTTTTGTAAAAATAAAGACTTAGATTACAAAAAAATATATATATAAAAGATGAAATTGCACGAATTTGACTCGGGAGAACGGTTCATGATAATCCGGCGAACTACTTAGGCCATCCATTCTTGCCGATTCAAGTGGGTCGTAATGTCTCACGAAATCAAATTGCCCAAGAAATTGCTCGTAAGAATTTGTTGTTCATCTTTCTTTGAATTGTGTAATGTCCGTGTGAGACCCACGACGAAGTAGGCTAGCAGAATTTCCAAGTTACTTGATCAAAACCACAAAATGTTCAACTCGTTACTTTTCCTCTTTCAATTCCTCTTACTTTTCCACGTTCAGAAGACCGGCAATGGCAGAACCAGAATCACCAAGTCAAGTGGGTCAAGAGCAAAAATTCAAAGTTGGCGTTTGGGTTTCGTCAGTTGAAAAAACTCTAATTTCATCGGCAATGGGGAGTGGGAAAGAAATTCTTTGTACTGCTTTTGCTGGTGGCGTTCTCGGACGCCCAATCGGACGTATTGGCCAAAGGCCAAGAGCTGACACCAGGGTCCAGGTTAGTTTCAGCCACGGGCACCTTTACGCTCGGGTTTTACAGTCCCAGCCTATTGAATCACACTTATGTAGCGATTTGGTACCACAGAGATTCGCAGAATCCCGTGTGGATCGCCAATCGAAACCCCAGAAATTCTGGCTCTGGCTCACCCAGCCTCACAATCGACGGCAACGGCAGCTTGAAAATTGTTCATAAAGGAGGAACAAGAAATAGGTATGCCTACAATTTCACTCTATTTGAAGTTGAAGAAGCCACCAACAGCAGCGCCATTCTGCTGGACAGCGGCAACTTTGTGCTGGGCGAGTTCAACCAGATGGGTCAATAAAGCGGCAGCTATGGCAGAGCTTTGACCATCCAACAGACACTCTGCTTCCCGGAATGAAAATTGGGATCAACCACAAAACTGGCTCCACTTGGTCCCTTACATCCTGGAGAGGCGACTATTCGATTCTATCAGGATCTTTCACCCTCGCAATGGATCCCAACAATACAAACCAGTTACTGATATTGCGCCGGGGAGTCGTCTTCTGACCAGCGGGGACTGGCAGGACGGCCGGTTTGAGTTCTCAGATGAACTCAACAATCGTGACTTGGTTTTTGATCGATTTTCCAACGAGAACGAGACGTTTTTCAATTACTCCGCCTCCAGCTCCTACCGATTGTCTTACCAGTACAACAGAGCCATTGAAATTCGACCCCGGTTGAGATTGCGCAATGATGGGAGTTTGGAGGGGAGCTTTTGGGATTTGAAACTCCAATGCCCCTTCTTTGAAAACGAGGTGTGGCCGCCACCCAAGGGCGTTTCAGAAGATGGGTGTGTGGGGAAAAGGGAGCACAAAATACCCAAATGCCGGAATCCGCCGAAACAGTTTTCCATTGCACAGAGATTCGGTGATATGGAGGGAAATGGTTCGAGGTACACAGAAAGTGAGAACTTGACAATATATGAATGCGAAAAGATTTGCATTTCCAGGTGTGATTGCATCGCCTATAGTTCTACCAATGAACAAGGCACCGGCTGCGAGGTGTGGACCATCGGAGCGATGTTTACTCCGGTTGTCGGAGGTCGCCGGATTATTTGGTCTCTACACGCAGATGCCGAAGGTAATATTCAAACTAATGCTCCGTTAGTTTCTTCTTCAGCCATTTTTGTTTAATCCTCGTGAGTTTCAAATGAACTCTTTGATTCAATTATCCTCCACCTTTCATGTGTACGTTTAGTTCCTAAATTTTGTAGGTAAAAAAACACGTTCTTATACTTTCAAATTGGTAACAATTTAGCTTCTGAACTTCAGTATTTAACAATTTAGTTTTTATTGTTTAAAATTTATAACAATTTAGTCCCTACAGTAAAAAATCTCATCAAAACTAAATTTCGATTTTTAGTGATCAATTGAACTGTGATAAATCCATGTTTCACAGGGCAGAAGTTAAACATTTTGGCCTAACTGGTTTTGGAATCTTTAGTTCGTGCAGGAAAAAGCAGGGTATGGTTACAAGTTCTTATCGGTCTAATAGTACCTACAACTGTTCTTCTATTGTGTGTCATTTTCTACATCAAATGGCGAACGCAAATACTCAAAAGGTAGTCAATATTTTAACTTCTTTACAAAGACATATATCCTCAATCAACATGTCGTGGTTCAAATTTCTACCATATATGTTATTGAAGTCAAAAAATATATATTTTAATTTCTTCGACTCTCACTTTCAATGTCTTTGTAAGTTATGAATGGCATATGAATTGAAACCATCTATTTGTCTTAATCCCAGCTATTGAAAAAATAAGGAAGAAGGACCCAGATCATCAAAATTCTCTACATGAAATGGGGGTCATATCTAAAATTCTAAGAATAAAGAACAAACAAAGAAGAGACATAAAGAACTCCGAGTTGCAGTTTTTTAGCTTTGAAAGTATAGTTTCTGCAACAAATAGCTTCTCTGACAAATGCAAGCTCGGAGAAGGTGGTTTTGGACCAGTTTATAAGGCAAGCATCATATATATTTTTTCAATGAAGCATAAGGAATCACTATATATGAGTACAAAGAATGATGGGTAAAATATTGATATGAAATAAGAAGATGATTATAATATAAAAGTCTGAACATGTTGAATCACCATCGAACTTAAAATGAGTTTGCTTTTGCAGGGAAGTTTGGGTGATGGCCAAGAAGTAGCCATTAAGAGATTGTCAAAGAATTCTGGACAAGGATTGGAGGAGTTCAAGAATGAAGCCATGTTGATTGCCAAACTGCAACACACAAATCTGGTTAGGCTTATTGGTTGCTGCATTTATAAAGAAGAGAGGTTGTTGGTATATGAATACATGCCCAACAACAGCCTTGACTCATTCCTCTTTGGTTAGTCAATTAGGCAGCTTTAACACACACGCATATATGTATAACTGTACTGTTCGAGGTTTATTTCTTTCGTTCTAATGAACAGTTTGGATATACAGATCCGGAAAGAAAGCTAATACTAAGTTGGGAAAAACGCTTGCACATAATCCAAGGGATAATTCAAGGACTACTCTACCTTCACAACTACTCAAGACTACGAATAATTCATCGAGATTTAAAAGTTAGCAACATCTTGCTCGATGATGAGATGAATGCAAAAATATCAGATTTCGGCATGGTCAGAATCTTTAAGCCTATGGAGCATGAAGCAAACACAAGCCGGATTGTTGGTACATAGTGAGTACTATCTATTTCACTCAATACTCTTCTATAAATCACCACTAGACTAAAAAGTTTAAGCCGATTCATATATAGACTTAGGGTATTAATTTGACTTGTAAGACCTATATAATATGAAATGAAGAAAAAACGACATTGGACAGACACTCATGCTGCTCTACTTTAATCATACTTGTGATTAAAAAGCTTAATAAGTTATATATCTTTTTTCTTTTTTTCATATTCTTTTACATTAATGTACATAAAACTTATTTAAAAGACACATATTATTGTAGTGGTTATATATCACCCGAATATGCAATGGAGGGTATTTTTTCGATAAAATCAGACGTTTACAGTTTCGGGGTGTTGTTACTGGAGATCGTAACAGGGCAAAAGAACTACCACAATTATGACGTGGAACAACCCGTCAATTTCATAGGATACGTAAGTTGCAGTACTTGAAGCATTATATAAATAAATAAATAAATATATATATATATATATATACACACACACACATATCTTTGGGAATGAAAAATGTTGAGTAAATTATTTTCAGGCATGGGAGCTGTGGGTGAATGGCAGAGGAGAAGAATTGATTGATTCGACTTTGTGCAGCTCCGATCAAAAAGCAGAAGCTCTAAGATGCATACACATCAGTCTTCTGTGCGTCCAACAAATACCAGCAGACAGACCCACCATGCTCGATGTTTATTTCATGATTCACAACCATTCTGCTCAACTTTCATTGCCAAAACAGCCTGCATTTTTCATTCCCAAAAGCTCACAATTAGAGGATGGCG